TGCAGCAGGCGGGCCAGGCGGATGCTGGGGAGTACAGCTGTGAGGCCGGGGGACAGAGGGTCTCCTTCCGTCTGGACGTCACAGGTGGGTGCTGACACGAAGTTAGCCTTGTGTGGAGGTGGTGGAGGCTGGCTATGTGTGTTTGGGTATGTGCACATGAGTGCAGGTACTAATGAGTCCAGGAGATGGCGTTGGATGCCCTGGAGCTGGAGTTACAGGCCGCTGTGAGTAGCTCAGTTTAGGTGCTGGGCTCCTCTGCAAGAGGATTGCGTATCCTTTACTGCCGAGCGTCTTCCCAGGCCGTGCGTGCTCTTCCCTCCTTCTAGCTCATCTTTCAGGCCCTCCTTCTGCTTCTCACTTTCCTTTTTACAGCTGAGCTCAGGGAAGCTAGGAGAGGAGAGAGAGGGTCTCCTCCAGCTTGAGTGCTCTTCCCGTCACTACATTAGGAAATGCTCTCCATGTTGTGGGGCGTGCAGCCTGAACAACCTGAGGAGGCTCAGATCGCTGGCGACCTCTGCTGAGATGCAGCCAGGTCCTTGACATCCACCACAGAAGAGAATCCAGGACCAGTCAGAGAAAAGCAGAATTAGTCAGTTTATTGATTACGGTAAGAGCAGTGATACAAGGCACAATGGAGAGTCAGGTGCAGGCACCAGGAGAGGAGCACATTCCCTGTTGCTATGGGTGTGACTTGGGGCCCTTGAATCTACTTAATCTATGACTAAGTTTAAATGTTAGTCATTTAAATTTAAAGTTAGTTTAAATGTGCTGGTGTATCCCCCTGCCACCTTGCCTTTTTTTTTTTTAGTTTTTCGAGAATAGGATTTCTCTGTGTAGTTTTGGTGCCTGTCCTGCATCTCACTCTGTAGACCAGGCTGGCCTCGAACTCACAGAGATCCACCTGGCTCTGCCTCTCGAGTGCTGGGATTAAAGGCTTGTGCCACCAATGCCTGGCTTCCCCCTTTTTTTTCCCCACAGAATTTTGTTCTTGACATAGGAGACTGTCCTCAGTGGACTGTGCAGGCTTGCAGCTTGGAGGGAGTGCTGGTTAACACAAATGTTCGGCCAAAGGACTCTTTAGGGACACACAGGTCACAAGGAGGTGGACTTGAGGCACAGGTCATTGGCTGGGAAGTGTAGGGGTTTTGTTTTGTTTTGTTTTTGTAATTGATCTGGCCAGTTTCGTCAGAATTCCTAGCTGTCAGTCAGGGAGACACAGCCCTCAGAACCAGAAGACTGAGGGCCTTAACCACCTCTATTTCCTCACTTCCCCATAGACGTTCATTGCAGAACACCTGCCCAGGGCCCTCGTGCTGTGTGGTGGACTCTGGATGCATCTGGCCTGTGGCTTGTGGTGGCCCAGATGTCTCTCCAGGGTTGGTCAGAGCACCTGCACTTTATGATCTGGTTGAGAGCTTTGGAGGGGAAAGTTACACATTTAAAGTATTTTAATCACTATAATTATTATTGCCTGTGTGTGGGTGTGTGGGCACGCATGCCACACTCTGTGTCAGAGATCAATTTTATGGCACCTGTCCTCTCCTTTTCCCTTTCTGCGGGTTCCTGGGATCAAATTCAGTTGTCTGGTTTGCAGAGCAAGCGCTTTATTCACTGAGCCAGCCCAGCATCCCTTACTCTTAAAGGAAGCGCTAGCATTTTTCTCTGGTCCTGTCTAGGTTTACCGTACAGCATAGCAG